AAAAATCTCTACTGCTAATCTGAGCTCCAAGATTACACATGACTGAACTAAAAATCTGGTGGGGTTAACCAGTTAAGCATCCATGTCCAAGCACTCAAGCTCTTCACAAACCAAGAACTGAAAAGTCTGTTTTAATTCATTCTTTACTCGTAATTTCCAGAAAACAGGAACCCAACAGAAGAAAACAATTTAAATTTACTCAGAATTTTCTATTTATAAATAATAACTACTGAACTACAAAATATTCCTTCGAGTATTTATGATACTCTTATATTTACAGAATTGCCACTCAAAGTCAAAAGGAATCCATCTCCAAAATGCGTGCCTTCCTCTTCGCCATTGCTCTAACAGCTTCACCAAAAGTTTTCCCCTGTTCCTCCCCCTCAAAAGCGCCAGCCATTAGACTAACCTCACTCTCCTCCTTCTCCGGCGGCCGATCAACCGGTCTAATCGCCATAAGAGTCGCTCCCTCCATTACATAGCCAGACCCCGGCAATTCCAGCCTCGGCACATACCATAGCTTCACATTCACGGCCGGAACTCGGGTTCTGCCTGGCAAGGCCGCCGACGTCCTTGATGAGTCCAGACACTGCCTCGACTCGGCAATCTGCTCTTCCCCCATGCACAGAGTCCCTTGACCACAAGAATCTGTTATCACAACACTCCGAAGCGTCGGATGATCGGCGATTATCTGTTGCAACAGGTGGTGCCTTGCAGAGGCAGCAATCAAGCACGTAATCGTCCAAACAATCCTCAATTTCAGTTTACCGTTCGTACAAAACGAGCCATGGGAGCCATGGGAGGTCTCTTCACCTCCCACCGATGCCGAAGACATCGAGCAATCATTCCTATCTCCTTTTTCAATACATGTAAGCTTCGTTTTCTGAAAAGAAGTGGCTCCCAGAAACACACAGCTCTGTAGCGAGCTGCCGAACTCAGCCCTCCACTTCAGCAACAACCCATCACCGCCACCACCATAGCCGCCCGAGTCGTCAGGGAGCTGTATCCGGAGGGCCCGAATCTCGTTGAATCTCTTGAGAACTTGTACGGGGGAATAATGGAAGGGAGACCCATCTGAGATGCTCTTCTTCTGATTAAAGAGAAGAGTCCGCTGCAGGAACCGAAAAGACTTCGAGATGATTCTGTATAGCAAGAACTTGGCCAAACCTATAGATAAGCTGCTTCCATGAGATTCAGAAGAATTACGATCATCAGCATCAACGGAATCGTCAACACAGTCGACCTTAACGACAAGCGAGTCGACTTGACGAACGAGGGAGCTGAAGCGCTTGCAGACGGCGAGGCAGCGGCCGAGCGTCTTGGCGTCTTGGATTTTGTTGAAGATGAGACATAAGAGCGAGTCGTGTAGACGGTCGAAGTGATCGTCTGCTTCAAAACTCTGGCCGGAGAGCATAGATGTTGAACCTTGAAAGTTTGAAACGAACGAAACTCAGAAATATGGACGGGTCGAATAGGAACGAGGAGAGAGAGAGAGAGAGAGGGGTTTAAAAGGAGAGAGGGAGCGTTGACGGTTTCGTCGAAAACCGGAGCAATCGGTTCGGACACGGAACACCGTTTTGGGTTCGAAAACGTGGCGACTTTATCTGCCTATTTGGATAGTTTGTATGTCGTTGTGAGATGTGATTGGGAATTGTAACTAACAATTTGATATTTTTATATGATAGTTTTGGACTTTAGATCAGTCCATCGCAGCTGAAGATATTATCTTGTAGTTGTAGATATTTTTCTGCTGTTTTTTTTATTATTTTGTGATTGTGATGTGGCAACTGGAAATAAGGATAATATGGGTATTTTGGTAAAACTGATATTTTTTATGACTAAAATACCCTTGAAGCGTGTGGGTCTTCAGTCAATTATGTTACATTCCACAACTTCTACATTAATTTTCCATGTGTTAAGTGTGAAGAAGTGTGAACAGACTAGCGTTGACGTGTATCGATCGGTAGGTTCGGGGGGTGGGGTTGATGAGGTCAGCGTAGACGAAATGATGTGGATGGGAGGAAGAGAAAAGAATAAATGTACCTGACAAGTGACGACGACGTGTGGATGATGTTAATTGGCGTCAATTATCAAATCCTCCTCGTGGCAAAATAGGCTTCAATTTAACTCAAGCCCACTGGAACTTTTTACATTTATGTGGGTTGCAAGCGGGGCCTGGGGTGGGTTCATGTTGGGTCGGGCCTGGGCTGAATTTCTAGTCGATTTCGAAGGGACTGAGTTCGAGGCCTGGCCCAACTCCTGAGCCGGTTTGAAAGCTTTTGTACTTTTTCATTTTTTTTCTTTTATTCTTTTATATCTGAATTTCTACCAAATTTTCATAATAAACTAGCGGGGACCAGTGTGATGCACAGGATTTATTAAAGGAAAGATAAATAATAGAAAGGTCATTTACTAAAATACATTTATAGTTTCATGGATTTACTAAAATCTACCTTATAGTTAGCATTTTAATAAAACATCACTTATAATTTAGAATGGATTTAATCAATTTTCCATTATATGATAGTGGAAAATGACAGTGTTGACACTAATGGTCATTTAAATAAATTTAATCAAAAGAAAATAAAAATAAAAATACCATTCCTGCCCTTAATAAGACACGGGCAACCATTAGCTATATTTGGCCAATTTTGTTTTCTATATAAAAAAGTGTTAAGGGTATTTTTGGAATAAAAAATCATGGGCCTAATAGCAAAACAAACAATCCTTAATGAAAGGTTGACTAAGTAAATAAGTTGTAAAATATATGGGATGTTTTAGTAAAATGAAAACTATAAGGTAAGTTTAAGTAAATATACAAAACTATAAGGTGTATTCTAGTAAATGACCCTAATAGAAACACATAATAGTATACAATTGTTTTATATTTTTAACTTTTATATAATTAATAATTATTCATATTTTTTATACTACTTTTAATAATTTTTTTATAATACAAAATAACAATAATTAATTTCAGTTAGGTTTATTCATCAAACTTATGAAACCGACCAACCCAATTAACTCGACCCGAGTTGGTCAGTTTTCTAGTATTTTAGGTTAGCTTTGGTTCAAAAATTTCCCAATTCGACCAAGTTGAATTAGTTTCACTTTGTCCATTTGTAAATTAGCCAAAATCGAACAACCTAACCATGGATATATATGAATATTTTATATTTTAAATATAATTTTTAATATGAAAATGTGAAAAATTTCTCATATTTCTTAGTCTAAAATGTTTTATTTCATAAATCTAATTTTTAAATTTATTTTTTAATAATTGCATTGTCATTTTTAAAATTAAACTTAATTTTTCAGTTTAAATCTTTTGAACCGACTAACCTTTTGTGAAAACTGACCCAAATAGATACAACTTGAGTAGATCGGTTTTCACAAAAGGTCAGTCGGTTTCAATTGACCAACTCCCCAACCTGACCAGGTCAATTTGGTTGGCCAAATAGCCTACGGCCAGATCGAACCAACTCATGAACACTCACAATTTTAGCTAAAGTCTTATCTCCAATAAATAACAATAGTTTAATCTCCAATAATTATTGAAAATTTATAGTGAAAATACACAACTATTAAAAATATATTGGTAATAAAAAATACAATAATAAAAAAAATACAATAAGTACTAAAAATATATTACTTAGTCAATAAATAGTATAATCTCAAATAATAGTTTAATCTCTAATAAATATTAATTAATTAATTAGTTATAACAATAATACAATAAGTACAATAAATTTTAAATTTAAAAAATTCAATAATAGTAGTTTAATCTCCAATAATTTTTTAAAGTTTTTTGTTAAATAACAAAACAAAATAAATTTATACATAATCATTGAAAATACATCTATCACAAAAACAATAAATAATTACTGAAATACAATAAATATTAATTTTAGTATATATAATTATATAATAAATATATATTAAGAGTTTTAAATTATTATTAATAAATATTAATTTTGTGAAAGTTATTTTCTTGAATTATTAATTAATATAAGTGAACTTAGCTATTTACAATATTATGTTATAATTATTTTTCTACTTTTCAGATTTTTTTTAAATTTATTACATAATTTCTTTATTCTAACTATTTAAAATCTAGTTATGTTAAATATTTTGTTATTTAAATACTTAAATAATATGTAAAATAATTAAATTTTAAAATATTAATTATTTATTTAATTATTTATCCATAAAATCATAATTTATACTATTATTACATAATTTCATTATTAATTTTATAATATATTAAATTATTATTAATTTGAATATTATGTTATAATTATTTTTCTACTTTGAAGAATTTTTTTAAATTTATTACATAATTCTGTTATTTTAACTATTTAAAATATAGTTATGATAAATATTTAAATTTTTTTGTTATTTGAATTTTATTTATTTAAAGATATTACATATTATTAAATGTTTTAAAAACATTTAAATTGATAATCTGGAAAAACATAATTGAAATTGTTAGTACATAATTTCGTGATATATTTTGTAAAAGTATAAAATTATTTTTTGTGTTTTTAATAAATATTTTAAAGTTGTTGTATAATTTTGTTAGAATATTTAAATAATTCTTAATTTTTTAATCCAAGAATTCTTTAGATAGATATAGATAAAAAGTAGGGGAGAGGATAAATAGGAACTAGAGATAATTTAGGAGAAAAACTCTCTATTAAATTAGAGATAATTTTGGAGATAAATAGAAATTAGAAATAATTTACAAGATAAATAGGAATTAGAGATAATTTTGGAGAAAGTGGAGGAGGAAGTTTAGAAGAAATTTTAGGAGAAGAGATTATTTAGGTTCTTTGAAAGTGCATTTCATTGGTTGTTTCAAAAATGACGTGAAATAAAAAAATAAAAATTTCAAAAAAAAGGAGAAAATTTCTTGACCGCTTTGTTTTAATATATATACTAGCGAGGACCCGTGCGATGCACGGGATTTATTAAGCGAAAGCTAAATAATAGAATGGAGAAGTACGGACAAGCCCAATGTAGGTTTTTGATGTCCACTGCAAAGCTATAAACATCCAAAATGTCAAAAATGCCCCACTGCAGAGCTATAAATATTTTTGTTAGAATATTTAAATAATTCTTAACTTTTTTAATCCAAATTCTTTAGATAGATATTGATAAAATGTTGGAGAGTGGATAAATAGGAATTAGAGATAATTTAGGAGACAAACTCTATACTAAATTAGAGATAATTTTGGAGATAAATAGGAATTAGAGATAATTTAGAAGATAAATAGGAATTGGAGATAATTTGGGAGAAAGTGGGGGAAGTAGTTTAGGAGAAATTTTAGGAGAATAGATTATTTAGATTATTGGTAAAGTGCTTCTCATTGGTTGTTTAAAAAATGACATGGAATAAAAAATTAAAAAATTCAGAAAAGGAGAAAAGTGAAATAATAGAAATAAATAATAGTAAACATATGTAGCTATTATACAAAAGTAATATGTTTCAATAATACATTGAACATAAAATTTATGGTATTACCATTAATTTCTAAAAATTGTTATATTTCAGAAATATCGGTAATATACATTTGGTAATTAAATGTAATTTTCTACTAATTAATGATATATTTTGGTAATTTTTACTAATTTATGACATTTTTTGGTAGTTAAATGTAATTTAATTTAAATATAATTACTCTTAATCATAGTTTTTTGTAACATTTTTTGGATAATTTTCAATGATTGTGACAAAATTGTTAATTATTGGTAATTTTATGGTATTTCCATTAATTTCTGAAAATTGTCATATTTTCAGAAATATTGGTAATATTATTTTGGTAATTAAATGTAATTTGAATACTAATGTGACCATTTTTGTTAATTTTTCTACTAATCGATCACGTATAAACTGATTTATAGCGGCGGAAATCAACGAAATCGTTGATAACCATTAATTTATTTATAACTTCAAATTGTATTCAAATTATTTATTTAAATATATTTATCAGTATAGTTAATGCTAATAATAGTTTAAATATAACTTCAAATAAATAAAAATTAATTTTAAAAATAACTATAGAATAATTTAACAATAATTCAAAAATTAATGGTTATTTGTGTTGAATTTTGGTAATCTACCATATTTGTTCAAAATAATAATTATTTTGCCAATATAATTTAAGTACAATAATTTAATACTGTTATTAAATAATTAATACTGTATTTATTATTAATTTGTGGTTAATATTGTTATTAAATATTACAATTAATTGGTTAGATATAGAATAACGGGTTTGACCCAAGTTGAATCTATGGTCGGTTGGTAGAACAGTAGAGGATTAGGCGGTGTTTAGAAGTGTTTATTGTTTCTGAATGGGCTTTTCAAATATGTGCTTATTAATAAGCAGCTTCTGATTTTTGAATGTTCAGTATAACGTTTTAAACATGTTTTCTTTTTATAAAGCGTTTCTCCAAAACTTAAATAAATCCTCCAACTTTTTCTAAAA